TGTTCAGGCGCTGCCGTTCTCAGCGCCGTCAAAATAAAAGTCCCGCCTCGAACACATCGGCCAAACAGAGAAACTTATCGGCCGATGCCGATATTTGAAAAATGCCAAATATCGGTCGACCACTAAATAGAAGTCTGTCTAAAGGCCCTGATACACTTCAAGCGAAATCTAAGAACGAACTGATGTGACATCATTTCGAACAAAATCCGGCCAAAACGTTTTGGGAGTTAGAAACGGCTTGCCAAAGCGTACTTTCTGGAAAAGTTTGTTGCAACTGGAAAACACCTTCGTACTACCATTGGTCCTTGACGATTACTTCATAGGAGGTGTGCGCTGAGGCTCCACCTTCTTTCATGCGAACTCACGAACTCTTCTCTGGGTTAATTTCGTCTGTCGAGTCCTTGGAGGTGAGATGTTTGTGCAGTGGAGAGCCGCTTTTTAGAAGCAAATTAAGTTTAGCTTTTGATTAAATGAGACAATGACACTGTTTTTCATGTTTAATACAACTGATTGCTTTTAAGCAATTTATTGAATAAAGTGCCATGTAAATACTCGTGACTTGACTTCACGGGAGTGCTAATTTGCAGAGCTTGTGCAAACATACCCATGTTGCTATGAACAGATGCTGTTTATAAACAAATGCTTGCTGTTTTCTCCATTTTTTTGTTTATTTTGTTACTGAGAGAAAAGCTCGCTGCACATTTTTACATATTCATATAAACGTTGCTTTCATCAGAGTGTGCGGGGTCAGGATGTTCCATAACAGTATACCGCTGCTCACGTATTTCGAACTTTGTTTTACCCCTAAACTAAAAACGAAAAAGAACTTCGTTTTAAGTATATCGGGGCCTTAATAATCAGATAGAAGTGTTAAACAAAGGAATTAAAAGGTATACAATAAAGTATTATAACGATTGTTTTTAAATTATTAGTAATGGAAAGGCAACCATTATAATACTTTCTTGTTTACCGTCAGCAATCAGTAAATACGCATTTATATCATTCAAACAAATCTTTGAATGTCTAATAAAAATTTAATTTCACAAACCTTGCAGACTTAGTCGAATCCAGCTGTGAGATCTTGTGAAATGTGCATTTCTATCATGCATGCATATGATTGCGTGTACTCTGCGTGACGGTCGGTCTGTGTGAATTGACTATATGCACAGTTACTTCCTGGTTTTAGATAAGCCAGCTCAGTCAATTCCGGTCAACTGTCAAAATCAGCTGTGCTATAACGGGAGCGCCCTTTGCTCGGTTTCTCTACGGAAGTAATCCTTTCACAATTTGAAGAAAAGTTTTGTTTGTCTAAGAGGACTGAACGTTCACTTATAATGTTTCAGGAATGACCAACACGAGTGTAAAAAATTATGCGATTGAGTCCGCTAAATTGTACCGCGAGTCATTGCTATAATTGACAGTGATAACTGTATTAAGGAACAAAACATCTGACAAGCCCATGGCAAAAATAGACCTGTGCATTAAGTGATTCAGACTAAATTCAGAGTAACAAAACTACAGCAGTAACAGTGAATTTGTGCACTTGCTATACTTTATACTTCAGTACTGTAAAAGTACTAAACTTTGTTAGCAAATCCATTTTTTAATAAATCCATGGCAACTGAGCTAATGATTGATCCTCTGCTGCCATCTACTGGTTATAATGGTAATTTCACATAATTTCTGCCAGGAGACACATTTTTGGCTTATTTGTCATGTCATCTTCATGAATGAAAAGTGAATCTTTAAAGTGAATTTTACTGCACAGCTGTGGAGTTGAGAAATAATAAAGGCTTTAAAATATTGTAAGTGTTTAAAAAATGTGTTCATGACTATGAAGGTATGTTATTGATTATCAAGAATACCATTATCTAGCATTGCTAGCTAGCCAACGTTAGCCTAAACCAGGGGTCTCCTGGAGGGCCAGTGTCCTTTAGAGTTTATCATAATTTATGGTGTTGCAATTATTTAGTTTCTCAGTTTCTGACAAGAACGAGGCAGGAGAGTTTTTTTTGTGAGGGTCTCAAGAGTCTCTACCTATATATACCACAACATCAAATGATGTTTCACCGGAAGTTTACGAGTTGGCTTATCTTTATAAGAACGCTCCGTGCATATAGTCAGTTGAATGTGGACAAAAGGAGAGTTCAGCTTCACTGGAGACGCACAATCTACAAACTTTAAACTCGTGATTACAAACTATGTTGTGCTTTATTTATTTCCCCACTGTCATATTCATGTCATTTTCACTGTCTTCAGTACTGTAAAAGTACTAAACTTTGTTAGCAAATCCATTTTTTAATAAATCCATGGCAACTGAGCTAATGATTGATCCTCTGCTGCCATCTACTGGTTATAATGGTAATTTCACATAATTTCTGCCAGGAGACAGACACATTTCTTATTTGTCATGTCATCTTCATGAATGAAAAGTGAATCTTTAAAGTGAATTTTACTGCACAGCTGTGGAGTTGAGAAATAATAAAGGCTTTAAAATATTATAAGTGTTTAAAAAATGTGTTCATGACTATGAAGGTACGTTATTGATTATCAAGAATACCATTATCTAGCATTGCTAGCTAGCCAACGTTAGCCTAAACCAGGGGTCTCCTGGAGGGCCAGTGTCCTTTAGAGTTTATCATAATTTATGGTGTTGCAATTATTTAGTTTCTCAGTTTCTGACAAGAACGAGGCAGGAGAGTTTTTTTTGTGAGGGTCTCAAGAGTCTCTACCTATATATACCACAACATCAAATGATGTTTCACCGGAAGTTTACGAGTTGGCTTATCTTTATAAGAACGCTCCGTGCATATAGTCAGTTGAATGTGGACAAAAGGAGAGTTCAGCTTCACTGGAGACGCACAATCTACAAACTTTAAACTCGTGATTACAAACTATGTTGTGCTTTATTTATTTCCCCACTGTCATATTCATGTCATTTTCACTGTGTGCTGTATGTTAAATGAGTGTTTCCTTGGCTTTATTTGAAAAAATATGATTCCCAATGCACACAAACTTCTTATGTATTTTAAAAAATATATTTATTTATTTGTGAAAAATACTGTAATAGGATTACAGAATCTAGAAGTTGTCATCTAAAGTATTAAGTGTGTTTATTTGACACATTTATTTAATTCATTTTCAAATTATTTCCAATTTCTTAAATATTAATTAAAATAAATAAAAATTTATTCAGCCACTCTGCTCTCTAAGATATCGGCATCGGCTGTCAAAAAAACAATATTAGTCTACCACTAATAAATACACTACTGTTCAAAACAGTTTGAGGTAAATGTTTATGAAAGAAGACTTTCATGCTTATAAAGGCTGCATTTTTTTGATCAATACAATAAAAACAGTAATATTGTGAAAAAACCTCCTCATAAACCTCCTGCCATTCATGATCAACTTTAGTTTTCAGATAATTACACAGAGGACAGAGTAACACTTTATTTTGATAGTCCACTTTAGGCATTCTACTACCTATAAACAACTTTGCAACTACATGTCAACTAGCAGTCATTGGAGTATTAGTAGACTGTCTGCTTAATATCTGCTAACACTTTATTTTGATGGTCGCTCAACAGATGTTCTATTGACTATAAGTAATTTTGCAAGTACGGCAACTTATTCTACTAACCCTAACCTAACAGTCTTCAAATGTTCTAATGAGAGTTAGTTGACATCTAGTTGCAAAGTTACTTACAGTTAGTAGAATGTCTAAAGTGGACTTTCGAAATAAAGTGTAACCATGGACAGACATTGAGTCTTATCGCTAGAACTGGATAAGACTTATAAACACGTGTGAGAATTCACTATTGATAATCTCTGATGAGGTGCTCTATTGATAGAGATTCTGTTGACCTAGTTTGTGAACTCTTTGGACACTGTTTTGATTGTGTGAACCCAAAAATAACGATGATGGAACCTTATTCGAACAGTTTATTAATGTAAATGAATCTAGATAAAAACTGAAACCTACACTACTTGACCAAAATGATGCAGACACCTGAACAGTGTATTTGTATGCGCTTGTTTGACATTTAATTCACAACTATTGGCATTAATACGGAGTTGTTCCTACCAAACAGCTTCCACTTTTCAAGGAGGACTGGATACTAGATTTTGAACGTAATTTCCTCCCATTCAGACAGATTTAAAAACAAAGAAAGCATTATTGTGAAGATATCAAATAAATTTGTGCACAGAGTACAATCTAAGCTTACCCAGACTGCTCTTTAACCTCTTAACTTTCAGGCGCCATTCACCGCAGAGAATCGGAAAAAAACCATAGACAAAATCCTGAAGGGCAAACTGAACCTTCCACCTTACCTCACCCAAGAAGCACGGGACCTTCTGAAAAAGGTAGAGGTCTTAAGGTCAAACAGGTTTCATGCCACTGTGGAATTCTCCTGTTGCTTAACTTACGGGGTTGTGTATGTATGTTTCGCACCCAGCTGCTGAGAAGAAATGCATCAACGAGGATGGGAGCAGGTCCTAGAGATGCATTAGATGTCCAGGTATCTGGCCTTATGATATGGTGAACCCATTATCATAAAAGCAGGAGATTGCATATACATATATCGTGGAGTTTTATATATTTTAAAAGCAGATTTTATTTTTAAGGGCCACTCCTTCTTCAGACACATGAACTGGGATGATCTACTGGCTTTTAAAGTTGAACCTCCCTTTAAGCCTTTTTTGGTACGAGATAGTGTTTTCTTTCTCTGCTCAGTCAACTGTTTGCCTCTCTCTTATTGCATGTTTAGAGTTATTATTATAGAGCTCATGATGTGGTATCTGATAATAACTCCTCACAAATCTCTATTTCTGCAGCAATCAGCAGATGATGTTAGCCAGTTTGACTCCAAGTTCACTAGTCAGACTCCAGTGGACAGTCCCGACGACTCGACACTCAGCGAAAGCGCCAACCAAGTCTTCCTGGTCAGTTTGTTGTCCTGGTCACTTTTTAGACTAAATTTATCGCTATACTCTTTAAATATATGGTCTTTGCACGAACACTATACCGCTGTGAGGACTCCAACTGCATTACATTTATCCAAAGTGCATCAATAATAAACTTATTTTTTATGTTTATTAGCCAATAACAGATAAATATAAAATATTAAAAGTCTGATATTACCAGTATTATGGGCTACTGATATTATAGGGTACTATTTTGTATACACTATCATTCAGGAGTTGTAAGATTTTAGTTTTTGTAAGAAGTCTTTTATGCTCACTAAGGCTGCATTTATTTCATCAAAAAGGCAGTAAAATAGTAATATTGTGAAATGTTATTACTATTTAAAACAATTTTATATTTAAATATATTTTCAACTGTGATTTACTCCTGTGATGGCAAAGCTGAATTTTCAAACGAACAGCATTTATTTGCAATAGAAATCTTTTGTAACAATGTACAAGTCTTTACTGTCACTTTTGATCAATTTAATACATCCTTGCTGAATAAAAGTATTAATTTATTTTGAATAAACTTTTGAATGGTTGTGTAGATAAATAAAATATTGAACAGATTTTTATTATAAACAAAGATGTTCTTCAGACAAATAGAGTAATATTATGCACCTCCAAGGCCTTGTTGTACGTGACACCATAGCCCAAACATAACAAGAACCCGACTGAAGCCTCAACTTGTTTATACACCATTTGATCTTAATTATCATCAGCATGCTGTGTAGAGCACTCAAGAATGTGTATGAGATTTGTTTCTGACTCCTGACCTACATTGTGAGTGTGTGTTAGCATTGTGTGTGTGTGGTAAATTAATTCTTTTTGTAGACAAACTTACGAGAAAGGGATAATATCTCTCATCTGGTCCGTATTATTACTGTTTAACTGTTTTTTCCAGCTCTTAGCGTGACATGTTCTTTTTTTTTTTTGGTTCATCATAATTGCACATCCTCTACACTCATCAATTTTTTCTCTTTTATTTTGTCTACCCAAACTTTTTTTCTTTCTTTCATTTAATCTCTTCTCGGATGTCGTCTCTCCTCAGGGCTTTACGTACATAGCTCCATCTGTGCTCGAAAACATCAACGAGAAGTTCACTTTTGAGCCAAAATCCCGTTCACCTCGCAAGCTTCTGGGAAGCCCAAGAACACCAGTGAGGTAATGTTTTCTCATTCCACTGAGATTCGCACAGTTTGCAGTGTGTATAAAGTAGTTCTGTCATGTTTTATGATCTTGTAGGGCTGGGTAAAAAAATACAGAATTTTTTTAACCCAGATTAATCATGGTCTGCATTCAAAGAAACATTAATTTTAAGAGAATCTTTCAAAATAAGCTCACATGCTGTGTCTGAATATGCCTGCTCCCATACTATATAACAGGTGAAAAGCAGTATGTGAAAAGAGTAGTATGTCTGAATTAATAGTATTCAAACAGTAGGCGAAAAATACCCAAATGCCTCAATACTTCCTCTA